TCTGGACCTGCCATGATTTCAATCTTGCAGAAAATACGAATTCCGCAGACAGTGTCCTTCAACCTACGGAGCTACTCTCTGAAGCTTTAAATTTCTTACAAGAGTATTTCACATATTTCTTATTTAATTGAAAATAATGTTATTTCTAGAAAGAGAAAAAAGTCTGCAAGATGGGGTGCTGATTGTTTTTACTAGGGGAGGATGCTAAGTGATCACAGAGGGATGGAGAAAAGTGGACTAGCACCAGGGGGCAGAGCTGACAGCCAATATGGAAAGAGAGAGGCTGGAGGGCCCCCAAAGAGAAGCAAGCAGAGGGAACCAGTTGGGAGAGGACAGGAGCTCACCATCGGGTCAGGGAGTCCTGGATGGCATTAGTGAGTGCGTGGCCCAGGTGTAGAGAGCCTGTCACATTTGGGGGTGGGATGCACATCATGAAGATGCCCCGTGGATTTGGTGCTGACACACTGGAACGCTATGGGGGAGGAAGAAACGGCACATGTCAAAGGTGTCAAGTCAACTCTCCCAGCTTCCTCCCGCTCCAGGCTTGGAGCACAGTGCCCACTCACTCCATATTCTGGCTTGAAGAAGCCCCGTTGCTCCCACCAAGGGTACCAGGCTGCCTCCACGTACTGAGGGCTGTAGGAGTCAGGCATAGGGCCACTGACATCTGGGGGAGAGGAAGGCAGGGATCAGTGCTGAGGCTGGGAGTAGCTGAGACTGGGATGATGGGCCAGCAGAGAAGGGCCTGGACCTCTGCAAACCTTCAACAAGTAAAGTGGTAGGAGCAAGGATAAAATAGGAAAGGGGTAAAAGGGAAGCAGCAACAGCTGAGGAGGGTAGAGATGGAGGGTGGGGGGTCCCTTCCCCCTTCTAGTACCTTTCTTTTCCCCAGGTGGGGTTGGGAGGTCATAGGTAATGACCCCAGGATCCCGTTTCTCCCTCTTCTCTGGTTTTGGTTTCTTCTGCTTGGGAGGGAAAGATATAGGCCCAGATATCAGTCCCCACCACTATGGCACCAACATCCTGTCCTGTTCAGCTCCATCCTTGGTCTCTCACCTGCCCTGGGGGTGGCTGCTGTTGTTGAATCTTCTGCTTCTGTTGAAATTTCTCTAGCTTCTCCCGTTTCTTTGCCTCTTTCTTGAGTTGAGCAGGTGTCTTTGGAGGGGCAGTGACATCAGGCCCTAGTGAGAGACACAGTAATCCAGACTTAGCCTCCTGGGGGCCCTCTGTGAAGGAGCTGCTATATCTAAAATGGGCTATTTCAGCTGCCCAAGGGCTTCCCAATGCTGTCCTCCCACCTTGCCCTCCCGCAGACCCTGGCCCCAGTTATTCTGTCATCCTAAGAAAAAAAGTGAGATGCACGAAAGACCCCAAGGAACCCTTCCTCGCCTACCCTCACCCTTCGTTACCTGGCTGTTGGGAGGGAGGCCTGGTCCCTGAGTACAGAACCACCTCTCCCAGAACAGCCCGGAATTCTGGCTGCTGGACACAGCTGATAAACCAGCGAGTGACATTACCCCAGATCTGGCGGGCAGAGGGGTCCAGCACCTGGGAAGGGGAGAAGAAATCAATTATCTTAACCTTACAGTGAGGTCTGAGGGGGGTCACCCTCATTCTTTCCAAGGCCCTAGTGACTCACATATCGGAAAGGCAGCAGCAAGGCTGTGACAGCTGCCAGGTCCGCCAAAGTGGGGGCATCCCCAGCCAGGTAGGTGTGCAGCCGAAGCCACTCTTCCAAGGGGCTCAAGGCCCTTCCCAGGGCCCCCAGTGCAGCCTAGCAGGAAGGAGAAAAGATGAGACAGGTCTTGGCCTCCTTCCACTCCCACAAATAATGACCTTTGAGAGCAGTTTTATTTTCTTAGAAACGGTTATAACAAAAAGAAGCCCTGCTAAACACTTACTGTGTGTCAGATGGAATATATTAAGCACAGGCAGTTAAAGATAACATGACGCAATATAATAATTGTGTCGATAACATTTATTGAACACCTAATACGTGTCAGGTACTTCTGTAAGAAATGAGGAGAGTACCTGAACAGATGGGGCCCCTGACCTGGTGGAGTTTACATTCTGATGGGAGACATAGTAAGTGAGTAAATAAGTAATACATTATCCCACTTTTCCTCCTAAAGTAGTATGAAGAAAAGTCAGGCTAAGGGGAACAGGGGATTTCAGAGAAAGGACCTTCATTTTATATCTATCTGTCTGTCTGTCTTTAGAGGGGAAGTAGAGAGGAAGAGAATCATCAATGTATGGTTGCCTTTTGTGCATCCCCTGCTGAAAACTGGCTTGCAGGGAAGCAGCCTGCAACCCAGGCATGTGCCCCAACTGGGAATCAAACCGCGGTCCTTTGATTTGCAGGCCCGCGCTCTATCCACTGAGCTACACCAGCCAGGGCAGGACCTTCATTTTAGATAGCACAGTCAGGATATGAGGGAACCAGCCAGGGCCTAAGTCATATATTCATTTCATTCATTTGTTCATTCAAAAAATACTAAGTATTGCCCTGGCTGGTGTAGCTCAGTGGATTGAGTGTGGGCTGCAAACCAATGGGTCACCAGTTCGATTCCCACTCAGGGCACATGCCTGGGTTGCAGGCCAGGTCCCCAGTGGGGGCCAGGTGAGAGGCCCCCCTCTCTTTCTCCCCACCCCCATTCCCTTCTCTCTAAAGATAAGTAAAACTTTTTTTTTAAAGAAATACTAAGTATCTACCATGTATTCAATACATGATGTGTGATAAGGACCAGGAGATACAGCCCCACTCTGGAAGGACTTAGTTACAACCTGACGTGGTTTTCTCTCTCCTTTCCCTTACTTCCCCTCATTTCATTTCTCCTTCCTCGTCACTCAGCATCATCCTCTATCCTGGCCCTACCTGCCTGCCTCTCTTCATCTCTCTTTCACCCAGTCTTTCCCTACAACTCACAGTAACTTCTACCATCGGTTTCAGACCCTCTAAACTTTTACTCAGACACTTTAAAGTGCCTGGCACTAAACTACGGGCTCTGCACTTCTTTTAATCTCAACATCTTCTCAACACGAAAACTAAAGCTTTCATAAACAAAGGAAGACTAAGGTTCAGTGAGGTTACCAGGTAGCAAACTGGGACTTGATTAATCTTTTCCCACATCTGACACGCTATCACCCTATTTCATTATCCATTCCAACTCTTGCTTCCTTCTTCTAAATCTTCCCCTCCATCTTCTCTCTACTCACCTCGGGATCCTGGACAGAGCTGCGCAGTCCCAAGGTGGGCAGTGTTGCTCCACAGGCAGCTGGTATCAGCTCCGTGTCCGCGTAACTGACCCACTGTTGGACAAGGGCAGCTGCCTGGCTACCCCCGGCGCCCCCCAGGCCTGCTGGCCACAGCAGCTGGGCCACAGCTGTGGCCCCCCACACCCAGAGCCCACCGGACCCCTGCTCCAGGGCAGGCATGCGGGGCGGGGGAAAGGGAGTCCTGCTGGCCGGAGGCGGCTGGAGACAGATACGGGGATGGGCTCCTCCCCAGCTCGGTCCCTCCCCAGCCTCCCCGTAGCGCGCGGCTATGAGGACTCGGAGGCTGGGGAAGGCATCGGGGTGAGGGGAAACATAGAGGATGGACATGGTTACACAGGGCTCCGAACCAGGTGGAAAAGACCTAAGGGGAGAGAGAGAGACGGGGAAGACTGAGGGACCTGGGATCCTACTTCAGTAGACAGAGGACCCTCATGAGGCTCCTCTACTGCAGGCCCCCGAAGCCCCCAGGACTGGGTGGGGATCTGATTGGGCCTCAAGAGCCGAAGGTTTGGCTCTCCCAGTGGCGGTGCTGGTGGGAAACTTCTCATGAGCGCGGGCCCTGGGTGAGAATGGGAGCGCCAAAAAGACCCTCCGAGTCCGGTAGGACACGGATTCAGGCCGCAGGTACCTACTGCAGGGAAGTGCTCAGACAAGCCCGGCCTGCCCCTCGCAGGCAGGCACCGGCTGAAGCTGGATAGGCCCGGTGGCCAGAATGGTGGGCGGTCCTTCCGGTGACCCCGGCTCACTGCCTAGTCGGTAGGCACCCACGTGTTGACCCCTTTGTGACAGCGTTTCCGGCCCACAGGTCCTGGGGAGGACAGGGTGGCTTTACCCTGCCTGCGTGCGTTGGGCCACCCCACAGGGCACTAACGTGGGGAAGGGGGTGGCTCCTAGCCCGCTGCGCTCAGGAGGGACACACGGAACACAGAACAGGGGCACACCCGGGACTGCCCTACCGCTCCTTTCAGGCACAGCCACGGGCACCCAACGTGGGTCCTCAGGCCTCAAACCGTTGCCGCGGGCGGGGGAGGGCAACGCCCCCACCGGAAGCAACCGTAGAGGGTGTTGCTGGGCCTGGACGACCATTTTGCCAAGGCTTCTTGGCCAGCCCCAACCTGGGCCTCAATTGCTCCTATTTTGAAAAGACGGAGTTTCGCTTTATGGCCTCCAAAGCCCCTTAATTCAGAAAGCTCTCATCTGGAATGGGAATGAACGAACAAAGACAACTTGCTCTCAACCCCACCAATAAAAATTCTCGGTTGCTTGCATTTATCTGCCATAGATATCAAAGTGTGCTGATTTGGCTGGGTTGAGGAAGAAATCCAGCAGCATCAAATACATCTTAGTGTCGGTGCTTGCATTTATCTGCCATAGATATCAAAGTGTGCTGATTTGGCTGGGTTGAGGAAGAAATCCAGCAGCATCGAATACATCTTAGTGTGTCATTTAACATTGTCACATTATGAAAGGACAGTAGGCACTCATTGTAGGTAGTCTGAGCAATAGGCCATGTAGGTAGAGACATGTTCAGCAAACATGGTATAGTTTACAGGTAGTACGCAGTTCATACCAGGAGAGAGTAGAGGTAGATAATGCTGGGAGGTTGGGTTGGATTCCCAGCTGGGGTGATGAAGGGGAACAGCATGGATGAATTCAGTATCCCTTTCCTACCCTCCAGGCAGCCTCCAGTTAGTTTCCTTCCCAAAACACAAGAGAACCAGAAATCTGCATCAAAAAATTTTATTCCCGATACGGGACAGATTCCTTCCATCCTCCAAAATCACGCACTGACCTGGAGAGAACTAAGAGATTCTCCTGCCATCTCTGGAAAAGGAATAAAGGCAGGTACTGGGGACAAGGAACACCTTGCAGTCCCCCAGACAACTTCTGAGGACAGCTGCTCACCACTAATTAGTCCTCTGATCTACTCATGCCTTAAAAAAAAAAAAAAAAAAAAAAGCACCTTCACTATTATAAAACCAGAAACACAACATCTCAAGTATGTGTGGAGAGGTCCTGGGCTGGGACACCAGGTGGAGGAGAGAAGGAACATCACTGTTTTTGCTGCAGGGCCTCCTTTCTGGCCGCATCCTGTAGTAACTGCGTGTCCACCTCATCTGCTGGCAACTGCACATAGCGGACCACTGAGCCCCGGATGAAGCAGTTCTTCACTGATAACTAGACAAAGGTAGGCAAATGTGAAAATACCCTTCAAAATACCCTCTACCCACCCAGGGGCCTCCTGCTTTTAGAGATGTTTCCTTTTTTCCCCATCTCCAACTTACCATGTGAGGGTATTTCTCAGGGTCTGTGACACTGATGTCAGTTAGTTTGATGTTGAGATACTAAGAAAAAAAGATGAACACCATCATTAGCTCTAGAGACAGGATACAAGTACCCCACACTTAAGCTCTCCCCTTCTCCTTCCCCCAAACCAATTCTGGACTCTTGCTATCTCACCTGATCCACAGAATGGAGGGTTCCACAGATGCTGTTAGGAGCAGAGGGAAGGAACACCAAATTAATTTATACCAAAGTCAACATAGAGGTGACTTGAGAGCTGATATAAAAACATGGTTGGGGGACTTGGAACAAAGACTTGAGGAAACCAGAATAGGTGGAACCAAAAAGAGGCATTCCTAAACCCCAGAGTGGAAAAGACAGTGCTCCCACAGCAGTGTTATTTAGACAGTACAACCCACTCTTAAGAGTTACCATCTTGTATTTCTCCTATACATAATATTTATAACTTTTACAGCTGGTTTACAATGTTTTAGTTACTACTTTACAAAGTAGTTATTATCATCCAGGGACTTAGAGAGGTTGTATAACTTGCCCAAGTTTAGGACAAATAAGGACCCAGTCCACATCTGTCTGACCCAGAACCACCAGCTATTTTCAAACATTTATTGCTTTGGAACCACATCCCATACATAAAGTAGATAAAGCAGCTAGCATTCCTCTTGATTAAGGGATGAGAGAGGTTCTCTAATCCTTGAGACCCTGAAATATTAATGAGGAATGCTATCACATCAGTGCTCTAAACCCTAACTTCTTTGTTAGTGGCTTCAACTTTTAAATCCCATGAATCATATTTCTCTCCCCTGCATATCCCATAAATCCCCACTGTTTACTGATGTCTAACATTTCTGTAATTCTCTTTCTAGTTTGACTTCTACAAACCAAGGTATTATTACTTTACACCTCAATCCAGGCCACCCTCCAACCTGGCCCCCCTCACCCTGGTGTCATAACCAGATTCTCAATTCCTCTGAACCATGGGTCTCAAACACTGTCCAAAAGTTTCATGGGTCCATGACAAAAGAGAAAACACAGGCTAGTACAGTACCAAGTGTAAATGTAGTGTGCTAAAAGTTCATTTTTCCCCTAAAAATAACTGTTCAATGAAGTTTTTTTATTGAAAGATTTTATTTATTTATTTTTAGAGGGGAAGGGAAGGAGAAGCAGAGGGAAACAGCCACGTGTGGTTGCCTCTCACACGCCCCCTGCTGGGGACCTGGCTGGCAACCCAGGCATGTGCCCTGAGAATCCAACCGGTGACCCTTTGGTTCACAAGCCCAATGAAGTTTTTTTCTTTTTTAATTGATTTTAATGAGAGAAAACTATCTATTTGTTCCGCTCATTTATGCATTCATTGGTTGATTCTTGATTGTGCCCTGACCAGGGATTGAACTCAGAGCCATGGTGTATAGGGACAATGCTTTAACCAACTGAACTACCTGACCAGAGCTAAAAATAACTCCTTTAAATTGTCCATCCTATTTTTTTGGTATTAATTTCTTAAAGGTTATTTACTTATTTTTTGAGAAAGGAGAGAGAAATATTAATGTGTGAGAAAGAGCAAACAGTTGCCTGTCTCATGCCCCCAACTGGGGACCTGGCCAACACCCCAGGCATGTGCCCTGACTGGGAATCACACTGGCAACCTTTCAGTCTGCAGTCAAGTGCACAATCCACTGAGCCACACCAGCCAGGGCATTGGTATTAATTTTTTAATGAACATAAGTAATTAAAATAATTATAATGATAATTAAAATATAGTTTAAAAAAGTCCTTATCTTGCCAAAAATAAAGCTGGCAGCTCTCTGTTGGACCCCAATTTCTGTAAAATTCTGTCTTTGAAATCCAGTGTCTGAGACCTACTGACTCAGTGGTTTCACTATATCCCTGGCTGCTGAAAATCCTGATAGCCCCTTATCACCATCTGCAGCAGTGAAGTAACCGTCAGGAATTGTATAAGGTGGTATTATTTGATTCAATCCCATAAAAACAGGTATTTGGCCCTGGCCAGTGTGGCTCAGTTGATTGGGTGTGGTCCCACAAGCGGCAGGGTTGCAATTTTCATCCCCAGGCAGGGAACATGTCTACTTTTTGGGTCCGGTCCTATCAGAGGGTATGAAAGGCAACCAATCAATGTTTCTCTCTCACATCAATGTTTCTCTCCTTTTCTTTCTCCCTCCCTTCCCCCCTCTCTAAACCCTCTCCCCCAAAAGCAATGAAAAAACAGTATGACCTTGGGTGAGGATAAAAGAAAAAACTCATCTTTGACACAGAAGTGATCTGACAACATGTCTGAGAGAAAGAGCTCTTCTTCCAACCCAACAGACTACCTTTGAATCTTACAGTCTTTGCTTTAGGACCTGGAGCTAAAACCTAACAACTTTTCCCCCCTTTGGCCATGTGGACAGGCCAGGAAAGAGAAAAATATAAGAAAACAAGTCATCTAGCAAGACTGACTTTCGCTTCCACACTTATCTCTCTACTGTCCTAATCTATATGCCATCAATACCATATACACTGCCAGTGTCATAAATCAAATCTCTGATGTAAAAAGCAAGTCCCACTCCTCACCATTCCCTGCCATGTCAATGTTTCTTCCATTAATTATGTCATATGGAAAGGTGGAACACAATGGAGAATACATCAATCAAACTTTCTAAAGGACAATCATGTAATAGAGATCTCTATCTATCTATCTATCTATCTATCTATCTATCTATCTATCTATCTATCTATCTATCTATCTTTAGAGGGGAAGGAGAGGGGGAGAGAAACATCAATGTATGGTTGCCTCTAGTGCGTCCCCTGCTGGGAACTGGCCTGCAGAGAACTGGCTTGCAACCCTGGCATGTGCCCTGACTGGGAATTGAACCACAATCCTCTGGTTCGCAGACTTGCGCTCAATCCACTGAGCTACACCAGCCAGGGCAGAGATTACTATTTTAAATGCACATCTCATTTAAAGGATACCATGTAGACATTAGGAATGTTAAAGATTAACTTTATTGATGTGAAAATATCCACATCTGTTAAGTGAAAAGCAAGTTCCACAACTACATGGAAAGTATGATACTGTTTTTAACTATTAAAAAAAAAAGCCTGGCTGATATGGCTCAGTGGGTTGAGTGCCAGCCTGAAAACCAAATGGTCCCCAGTTGGGGGCATGTGAAAAGCAACCCATTGATATATCTCTCATACATCAATGTTTCTCTCCCTCTCTCTAAAAATAAATAAATAAAATATTAAAAAAGAAAAGCAGCAGCAGCAGCCCTGCCTGGGTAGCCCGGTTGGTTAAAGTACTGTCCCAATATGCCAAGGTTGCAGATTTCCTTCTCCAGTCAGAATCAACCAATGAATGAATAAAAAAGTGGAACAACAAATTGATGTTTCTCTAAAATCAATCAATAAAAAAAAAATTAAAAAGCAAAGTAGAATTAGATTTCAATTCTGGCTGTGTCATTTACTAGTTACATAGAACAAGTGTTTTAACCTATCCAAGCTTCAATTTCCTCACATGTAAAGTAGCAACAATACTGTATGTCACAAAGGAGTGTTATGAGAATTTAATGAGTTAATAAAAGGAAAGTATTCAGAATAGTGCCTAGTCAATAGGAGGCTCTGCAACAGCTTTCCACAATTATTCATCACATTCTTGTGTGACAGCTGTATCATATGGAAGTACAATTTAACCTACTCCTTATTGATAGCTATTTGTTTTCCATTTTTGGCCACTGCAAATAAAGGTACAAATATCTCTGTACATACATCTTTACTTTTGGAACCAAATCTTACACTTCTAGAAGTTGAGTCAAAAGAGCATAGAATTTAATCAGGAAAAAACAAAACTATTATTTTGTAAAAACTGTTGATGCTTCTATACTCTTGATCTTTCTGTACTTACTCTTTATATACTTAGTTCTTTGCATTGTTTTTCTTTTCTTTTTTATTAATGTTTTATTTATTTTAGAGAGAGGGGAAGGGAAGGAAAAAGAGTGGGAGAGAAACATTAATGTGTGGTTGCCTCTCATGTGTCCCCTACTGGAAACTGGCCTGCAACCCAGGCGTGTGCCCTGACTGGGAATCGAACTGGCCACCCTATGCTTCACAGGCCCGGGCTCAATCCACTGAGCTACACCAGCCAAGGCTTTGTATTGTTTTTCAATACAAGAAACAACACCTAGCTAATCTGTCAGTTCAGGGCACTAGTCATTTATTTCTTCTCTATCTCTCATCTTGCCCAGATTTCAAACAATACTTGTCCAATTAAAGAGGTTCCAGGGCCCTGAGCACATCCATCCCCTACAGACTTGTTGGAACAGGTACCTACCTCAGGTCATTCTTGAGTTCCACCACCACATCCTTACCCACAAGGGACTTGAAAAAGGAGTAGAAGAGCTGTTGGGGGAGAGAGGGAAAACTATTATATAGGAAAAGGTATGGGAAGAGACATGGTAGGGAGGAGCGACCTTCTGCCACTGTTACCATACAGTGGTATTGGAATCCCCAAATCTGGGGCAGGGTCTCAAAACTTCAGTCAGAGATGAACAGCTGGAGGCCGAAGGATTCTGCACACTTCATTGAGCACCTGACATAAAGACCCCGAGAGAGCCTCTGCCCTGCACCCCTCAGACTCTCCAGGCTCGGTTCTGAATCCACCACCTGCTCTCGTGGAGTCCCTGCCCACTCCTCCAAGGGAGCTGCAGAATGTACCCCGGCTCAAACTCCCGAAGCTTGGTCTCTGGTCTCCATCAGAGAAATGGTGTCTGGCTTTTCCCTCTCCTGTTGTCCCTGCGACTCTCCCTTGTTTTTGTTTTTGTTTTTTTTTCCTTATAAGAGAAAAAAAAGACCACTTGCTCCAGTCTCTTCAAAGAATTTTGAGGTGCAGGTACTAAGTGCCCCCACTTAGTTCCAAAGCCCAACTCGAGCCCAGACGGACGTAGCAGGGACACGTACTCAGACTCCCACAGTCCAACCCGCCCCGGCTCCCGGAAGGCACCCCCTAGTGACTTCGCGATACCTACCATTGTGCTTACGCAGCGGGCTGCCGGCCGGACAAGGAAGGCGAGGGCCTGATGCCTTGAGCCAGAGGCCGGGCGCAACTCAGAGCGCGAGCCTGCGCGCGTGGGGCGGGGCGGGAAACGCCACGCGAAGTTCAAAATACAGAAAAAGAGCGTGCGGTGAGCGCTCGCGAGAGCGGTCTGGGAAGAGTGAAGGGCACGCTGAAGCCAGCCGGGGGAAGGGGAGTGGCTTCCGCTTGCCCTGATTCCTTCGCCCGCGGTGGGATGCACCGCGCAGGCGCGGCCTCAGCTGACCGTGAGGGTCGGAGAAACTCTTAGCCTCTCTGAGGTTTTTCTTTTCTAAGGCAATGAGTGCAGTCTGCAGCATGATTTGCTCACACTCTAAAGACACTTACTATTGAAAACTGTTAGGAAGTTTGTGAAACCTTGAGATTTGTAGACTTATTTATTTAGTTAATTATTTTTAGAGTGGATGGGAAGGAGAAAGAGTGGGAGCGAAACATCAATGTGTGGTTGCCTCTCATGTGCCCTCAATTGGGGACCTGGCCTACAACTCAGGCATGTGCCCTGACTGGGAATCGAACTGGCAACCCTTTGCTTCACAGGCCTGTGCTCAACCCACTGAGCTACACCAGCCAGGACTAGATTTTTCTATGTATGTTACACTTCTTTAAAGTTTAAAGAAATTTCATGTTGAGTCCTTATGATCAGGAGCCTGAGCACAAATCTTAATTTTATCCAAAGTTCTCTCCCAATATACATATTTCTCCAAAAGACCCAACCTCAGTCCACATTTCTTACACACTTTTGCCTAAGGTTGTCCTGTGAAGGAATGAGTAAAACTTACACTGGTGGGATGATGAAAATAGCTATTCTGTTAGGGCAAGGGTCTCAAGGGCTGGACATTTCTACATGTTATTTCTTGCTAAATGTTAAAATGTAGCAGTATTTTTCAGATAGACCAGTAAACAGCATAAGCTGACAGGAAACTCAGCCTGATAAATGAGGCCAGCTGCAAAGAAGAAATTAACATGTATTGGACCAAATAGTGTACAAAAACAATGACTAAGCATTCTTCAAGGAAGCAGACCTTTGGATATGAATCCCTGCTCCTTTACTTGTTGCAAGTAAATATAACTACCTTGTGACAACCATGTCTCCTTATTGAGTAAAGCACCTCACACTGCGAAACCCTTGAGTTTGGTAACATAATCATACCCAAATATGCCCCCTTAAATACAAAGGTTTACAAATGCAGTTGCATGTCCCCAAGACTTTTACAAACATGTGCTATGACAAAATAGGTGAAAATAGTTTTTCAAGGAATAAGGCCATTCTAAAATCCTCCATTTCTCATCTTGCACATAAGTACCCATTTGTCAGGAGATTGCTGTCAAAATGTTTTCTGCGTGTAAAAGACGTAATAATGGACTCTTGAGTGCACAGCTGGATTTAGATCCCACCTGTAGGTAACATCAAGGAGATGTGTGCCTCTTAGCTGAACCCTAAGCATCTAAACCAGTCTGCCATAGAACATAAGCAGTAATTATGGTTAGCATCGGCTCTACCTGGAGCTGGAAGTGCTTGATGATCAAGTAATTTTCCTGCTTGGAACAATTAGCACATGAAAATTCAAATACTTTGCCCTTACCAGGTTAATCATTCACAATTAGCTCACAATCAGACCATACATGCTCTCTCCATGAACTTTACTTTTCCTTGCTTTTCAACACACAAAGTCTAAAGATACCAGAAGAAATTTGCTTTAGGAACAAATTTACTGAGTCACAACTATCCGCACAGGAAGAAGGGGGTTGGGGAGGCTAGAAATAAATAACAGACATTCAAATTCATCAAATGGTTCAGAGAGGAGCCAAATTTTCCTAAAAGTTTCATTCCAGGGTCAGAAACAGGACATTGGAGTGCAAAAAGGTGGCATATAAGACTCTTCCCTTAGAATCCCAAAACGATGGTAACTGATGTTCAGGTCCAGTCAACTCGAGAATCATAATAATGTTTGAAGATGAGGGGAACAAATTCACCTTAGAGGCACCCTAGAACCCTCCAGCTCCAGATATGATTAATCTACTTCTTCAATGGTGGGGCCTGTGGCAGCCCTTCCAGGCGAGTACCCTGTTCCACAGGCAGGCCCAGTGCATCCTGCCTGGTAGAGTTTTGTAATGACTGGATTACACACTTGCTCCAATTCCTTTCTCTTATGATCAAACTCATCTTTCTCCGCCAGTTGATTTGCCTCCAGCCACAAAAGGACCTCATTGCATTGCTCCAGTATTTTCTTTTTGTCAGACTCATTAATCTTACCCTTCAAGCCTTCATCACTCACAGCATTCTTCATGTTAAAGGCATAGGATTCTAAGGTGTTTTTTGCAGCAATTTTCTCTCTCTGAACCTCATCTTCAGCTTTATATTTCTCAGCATCCAGAACCATGCGCTCAATGTCCTCCTTGCTCAGGCGGCCCTTGTCGTTGGTGATGGTGATTTTGTTGGCCTTGCCTGTGCTTTTGTCCATGGCTGTTACATTGAGAATACCATTGGCATCAATGTCAAAAGTCACTTCGATCTGAGGAACTCCTCTGGGTGCAGGAGGGATTCCAGTTAAGTCAAAGCGCCCCAGCAGGTTGTTGTCGCGTGTCATGGCCCTCTCGCCCTCATACACCTGGATCAGCACCCCTGGCTGGTTGTCTGAGTAGGTGGTGAAGATCTGTGTCTGCTTGGTGGGGATGGTGGAGTTGCGCTTGATCAGTGCAGTCATCACGCCCCCAGCTGTCTCCAACCCTAAGGACAGGGGAGCCACATCCAGCAACAGCAGGTCCTGTACCTTTTCAGACTTGTCCCCCATCAGGATGGCTGCCTGCACTGCCGCTCCGTAGGCCACCGCCTCATCAGGGTTGATACTCTTGTTGAGATCACGACCATTGAAGTAGTCCTGCAGCAGCCTCTGAACCTTAGGAATACGGGTGGAGCCCCCTACTAAAACAATGTCATGGATTTTAGCCTTATCCATCTTGGCATCCCGAAGGGCCTTCTCCACAGGCTCCAGGGTGCCCCTAAAGAGGTCTGCACACAACTCTTCAAAGCGGGCTCTGGTAATGGACGTGTAGAAGTCAATGCCTTCATACAGTGAATCAATTTCCAAGTTGGCCTGGGTGCTGGATGACAGGGTCCTCTTGGCCCTCTCACAGGCCGTGCGCAGCCGCCTCACAGCTCGCTTGTTCTGGCTGATGTCCTTCTTGTGCTTCCGCTTGAACTCCTCCACAAAGTGGCTGACCAGTCTGTTGTCAAAGTCCTCCCCTCCCAAATGGGTGTCCCCAGCTGTGGCCTTTACCTCAAAAATCCCATCATCTATGGTCAAGATGGACACATCAAATGTGCCTCCACCCAGATCAAAGATCAAGACATGTCGCTCTCCCTGACCTGCTTTATCTAAGCCATAGGCAATGGCAGCAGCTGTGGGTTCATTGATAATTCTTAGTACATTGAGACCTGCAATTACTCCTGCATCCTTGGTGGCCTGGCGTTGAGAGTCATTGAAATAGGCTGGCACAGTGATCACAGCATTGGTGACAGGGTGGCCCAAAAAAGCCTCAGCAGTCTCCTTCATCTTAGTTAGTACCATAGAAGAAATTTCCTCAGGGTAGAAAGCCTTTTTCTCACCTTTATAAGACACCAATACCTTGGGCTTGCTTCCTTCGTTGATTACTTGAAAAGGCCAAAGTTTCATATCTGATTGTACTACAGGATCATTAAATTTTCTGCCGATCAGACGTTTGGCATCAAAGACAGTGTTCTGAGGATTCATGGCTACCTGGTTCTTGGCCGCATCCCCAATTAGCCTTTCAGTGTCTGTGAAGGCCACGTAGCTGGGGGTAGTGCGGTTGCCCTGGTCATTGGCAATGATCTCCACCTTGCCATGTTGGAACACCCCAACACATGAGTAGGTGGTGCCCAGGTCAATGCCGATGGCTGTTCCCTTAGCAGTAGCCATGGTTTTCTGAGGCCTGTTGGGAAAAAATGCAACAAAGTCTTGGCAGAGTACTTCTTTATTCTATTTATTTATTTTTAATGTGGTAAAATACACATAACACAAAATTTACCACCTTAACCATTTTTAAGGGTATAGTTCAATAGTAAGTTCATTCACATTGTCTAACCAACTTCCAGAAGTTGCAAAACTGAAATTCTTGCAAAACTGAAATTCTTTGCCCATTAAACAATTCAACATTTGCTATTCCCACTGGCCCCTGGAAGCCACCATTTTCTGTCTCTGTGAAGTTGACTATTCTAGATAGCTCATACTAGTGGAATTATACGATATTTCTCTTTCTGTGGCTTATTTCACTTAGCATAATAACAAAGTTCATCTGTGTCCAACCCATGTCCCACATGCCTCATGTGGCCCAGGATGGTTTTGAATGAGGCTGAACACAAAATCGTACATTTACTTAAAACCTTTTTTTTTTGCTCATCAGTTTTCATGTTTGTGTATTTAATGTGTGGCCCAAGACAACTCTTCTTCTTCCAGTGTGGCCCAGAGACATCAAAAGGTTGGACATTCCTGAATTCTATGTTATAGCATGGATCTGATTTTCCTTCCATTTTTAAGACTGAGTAATATTCCATTGTGTACCCACATTTTACTCACTTATTCTCTCTGAGGACTGCTTCTGACTCAGGGCTATTGTGAATAATGCCGTCATGAACTCTGTGTACAATGTTTTTGGTGTACAAATAACTCTTCCAGACAATGCTTCCATGGTTTTTGGACAAGGTAGACAAACAAATTTCTAGCCAACTGGAAATGGGAAGGCAGTGGGTATAATTGTTTTTAATTTCTCACAAGTCCTCACTCAAGTGTCCTGTGTCTCTGATATATTAGGGCTGTTCATATGGAAAATAGTACAATTATTAATAAATAGTAATAAATTGCTTCACTTAAAATTGTAAACCTGCTTTTGCCCCAAAGTATATTTATTCTGAGATTGTGTCTGTCTCCACTGAACTGAGATTATTTTACCTTTTGATCTTTGCATGAGACATTAATCGCCACATTTGGGTTTAGCTACATCCCTGGGTTCCTTTACCCTCTACTAGTGACTTGTGGGAGTAAATCTGGGCTACTAGGATCCTGCTGCAGTGGATTTTCTAGTTTCCTCAGGTGAAGTGGTGTGGTCCAGGTGGCATCTTTATCTACTCTTTTTTTTTTTAAATAATACTCTTTTTTAAAGATTTTATCTTTAGAGGGGAAGGGAAGGAGAGAGGGAGAGAAATATCAATGTATGGTTGATGTTGTTGAACCATATCAATGTATGGTTCCTGCTGGGAACTGGCCTGCAACCCAGGCATGTGCCCTGACTGGGAATTGAACTGCGGTTGTTTGGTTCGCAGGCCTGTGCTCAATCCACTGAGCTACACCAGCCAGGGCGTATCTACTCTTTTTTTATTTTTTATTTTTTAATTTTATTTAGTTACTTTTCAAGTACATTTTTTTTTCTCTCCCCCCCCCCCGCCCGGTCTCCCCCCTCCCTCCCATTCCCCCCCCCTCTTTTTTTAAATATTATTTTTAGAAAGAGGGGGAGGGAGAGAAAGAGGGAAACTTTGGTTGTGTGAGAGATTCCGAGATTGGCTGCCACTCACATGCCCCCCAACTGGAGACCTGGCCTGCAACCCAGGCATGTGCCCTCCCTGGGAACCAAACCCGTGATCTTTCAGTTGGAAGGCCAGCATTCAATCCACCGAGCCACATGGGCCAGGGCTCTTCATCTAATCTTTTACTTAAAAAAAATCCTGTTATCCAGAGACAATAACAGACCGGCTCCTCCTTGTCCTTCCAGCAGCTGTGGCCAATCCAATGTACTTTGGGCTCCTCAAAGGATTTCCATCTCATGGTTGGCCAAGACCCCATACATCAGACTTTAACTAGTGAGCCTTGCAGCATTTTCTCAAAGGCCTGTCTTGCCTTTTCCCACCCCATTACCATCAGCCCTCCTTGTTCATCTATTTTCCCATCACCTTCACTCCGGTTTGATAATGTGCGAATTGTGAAGCCAATGTCCGTGGGGAACCCCTCATCATCCACCCAACGCAGCCGGTGTCCCCCCCTCCCGCCCCCCCAACTCTCCCGCCGTACAACTTTAAGCAGGCTTAATTTCTTGTCATCCTGACACCACACTAGCCATGAAGTCAGAGGCAGCATTTCCATTGTAACGCGACTGCTGGGAACACCGTCAATACCTCCCCATCCCCCACTCCCCCCGGCTCCCGCCCCCTTCACAGTGTTGTCAGCAGAGCCTACTCCTGAGCCCCTCCCTACTTTACGTCCCTCCAGGTCTCCCAGAGACTGCGCCAGCCCAGCAAGCCCCAGAAGAGTCGGGAGAGTTCTGAGAGGGGCGGCACCCAGTGCGCTGATTGGTCCAAGAAAGCCTGGGGGCGGGAAGCCAGGAGAAAGCCCTGGAATATTCCAAACCCACTGCGGGACAGAGATCAGGGATTGGGTGAGCGGGAGAAGAGGCGGGGGCTACGAAGAATTATAAATACAGAGCCACCGCTGGCTGCCCAATTGCAAGCCTGCCGAAACGAATTGGTTCCTGCAACCTTTCTGCGTTGTGACCCCCTGCTTCCTAGGACGAACTTCTGCGGGCGCCTGCTTTCAGTTTCCCGCTTCGGAAAGGACAGAGCTTGGGCTGAGCTTCTGTGGTCGTGGACCCAGACCCGGACCCGGACCCGGACCATCGTTTGCAGGAAAAGCCCGAACTTCAGCGCGGGGTGAGAGAGCAGGGCGCCGGCATGGCTAAAACCACGGCCATCGGTATCGACCTGGGCACCACCTACTCATGCGTGGGAGTGTTCCAGCACGGCAAGGTGGAGATCATTGCCAACGACCAGGGCAACCGCACCACCCCCAGTTACGTGGCTTTCACGGACACGGAGCGGCTCATCGGGGATGCGGCCAAGAACCAGGTGGCGCTGAACCCGCAGAACACTGTGTTTGACGCCAAGCGGCTGATCGGCAGAAAGTTTGGCGACCCGGTGGTGCAGTCGGACATGAAGCACTGGCCTTTCCAGGTGATCAACGACGGGGACAAGCCCAAGGTGCAGGTGAGCTACAAGGGGGAGACCAAGGCGTTCTACCCCGAGGAGGTCTCCTCTATGGTCCTGACCAAGATGAAGGAGATCGCTGAAGCGTACCTGGGCTACCCTGTGACCAATGCTGTGATCACCGTGCCGGCGTACTTCAACGACTCGCAGCGCCAGGCCACTAAGGACGCAGGGGTGATCGCGGGTCTGAACGTGCTGAGGATCATCAATGAGCCCACCGCTGCCGCCATAGCCTACGGCCTGGACAGGACGGGCAAGGGTGAGCGCAATGTGCTAATCTTTGACCTGGGTGGGGGCACCTTTGACGTGTCCATCCTGACCATCGATGATGGCATCTTTGAGGTGAAGGCCACGGCCGGCGACACCCACCTAGGAGGAGAGGACTTTGACAACAGGCTGGTGAACCACTTCGTGGAGGAGTTCAAGCGGAAGCACAAGAAGGACATCAGCCAGAACAAGCGAGCTGTGAGGCGGCTGCGCACGGCCTGTGAGAGGGCCAAGAGGACCCTGTCATCCAGCACCCAGGCCAGCCTGGAGATCGACTCCCTGTTTGAGGGCATCGACTTCTACACATCCATCACCAGGGCTCGGTTCGAGGAGCTGTGCTCCGACCTGTTCCGCAGCACCCTGGAGCCAGTAGAGAAGGCTCTGCGCGACGCCAAACTGGACAAGGCCCAGATCCACGATCTGGTCCTGGTGGGTGGCTCCACCCGCATCCCCAAGGTGCAGAAGCTGCTGCAAGACTTCTTCAATGGGCGTGACCTCAACAAGAGCATCAATCCCGATGAGGCGGTAGCCTATGGGGCTGCGGTACAGGCAGCCATCCTGATGGGGGACAAGTCTGAGAATGTGCAGGATCTCCTGCTGCTGGACGTGGCTCCCCTATCCCTGGGCCTGGAGACGGCTGGGGGCGTGATGACTGCACTGATCAAGCGCAACTCCACCATCCCTACGAAGCAGACGCAGATTTTCACCACCTACTCGGACAACCAGCCAGGGGTGCTGATTCAGGTGTACGAGGGCGAGAGGGCCATGACACGCGACAACAACTTGCTAGGGCGCTTCGAGCTGAGTGGCATCCCACCGGCCCCTCGGGGCGTGCCCCAGATTGAGGTGACCTTCGATATCGATGCCAATGGCATCCTGAACGTCACTGCCACAGACAAGAGCACTGGCAAGGCCAACAAGATAACCATCACTAACGACAAGGGCCGCCTGAGCAAGGAGGAGATCGAGCGCATGGTGCAGGAAGCTGAGAAGTACAAAGCCGAGGATGAGGTCCAGCGTGAGAGGGTGTCTGCCAAGAATGCACTGGAGTCGTATGCCTTCAACATGAAGAGTGCTGTGGAGGATGAGGGGCTCAAAGGCAAGATCAGCGAGGCAGACAAGAAGAAGGTGCTAGACAAGTGCCAGGAGGTGATTTCCTGGCTGGATGCCAATACCCTGGCAGAGAAGGAGGAGTTTGAGCACAAGAGGAAGGAGCTGGAGCAGGTGTGTAACCCCATCATCAGCGGACTGTACCAGGGGGCGGGTGGCCCTGGGGCTGGTGGCTTTGGGGCTCAAGTCCCTAAGGCAGGCTCTGGTTCTGGCCCCACCATTGAGGAAGTGGATTAGGGCCCTACCTTTCCCCCCATATTTGTCTCTGCAGCAGAGGTGACTCAAGGATCTTGCTGTTGCCTCAAATTTTTGTTAACTATCAATTGTGTTCTACTTCAGTTCAGTCTGAAGTGAGGTGTAATATGATTGATTTGTCTGTTTTTATTACTTGCAATAATACCACCAATGTGTTCTCTAGAATTCTTTGCATTTAATGTAACTCGATACTCTGGAATGTCTGTTTTTCTCCTCAATGATCAATTCTGCTACCCTTTGTGTGTGTGTGGGGGGGGGAGGTGGGGGGGGTTGGCCTTTAAAGACAAGTTTGAGTGCTGGCCTGCAAACTGTAGGGTCTCCAGCTGATTCCCAGTCAGGGCACATGCCTGGGTTGGGTGCTAGATCCCCATTGGGGACTCGCAAAAGGCATCACACACATTGTCTCTCCCTCTCTTCCTTTCTCCTCTCTGTAAAAATAAATCTTCAAAAAAATCTTAATGTGTTACTTTTTATTTGTGAGTGTTAATGGACTCTTTCGAAATGACGGAATTCCATACGTGGTGAGTGGGGGCAGTACTTCTGATGACTGGTGAATATTGGGAGCCATGGCTATGGGTGTTTTTGTTGAGAATCAGTTCTAGGTGGTGAATCACATTTGTGTTAGGAAACATTCTGGGTAACCATTTTGATTGAGGTGGAGCTTGTTTTAGAGAAAAGTAGGGACAGGAGCAGCAATAGGGTTTTGGGGAGGAGAGATTAGTATGGGTTTAAAGGCTGTGTTTAGATAGAAGGGTTTATCATTCCTCATTTGCAGTTATGAATTCTTCCATACAGAGTTCTTTAGTACCCACTTCTTATCTGTGAGTTTCCCAGTCTTTTGTTGAGGTTATAAAGATATTCAAAGTAGACAAAAGAGCAAAAAATGAGCTGCAGATTCACCCTGGCTCTGTAAATCCCACCTGGTGGTCAAATGCAGTTATTTATCCTATGAGTTTTGGTTGCCTCTTTTTATATTGTCCAAATAAATGGTCTCACTTCCAAAGTTGTAATGTCATTTTGAGCAGAAATATGCTATAGGTAAGTGACACACCTTCAGTTATGGTCACCTAGCTGCAGTTATAAAACTGACTCTGAAGGACTGAGATACTTATATGGGGGCATGATAATAAAGAGGGATGGGCTAGACACTACCAGGTTCTTTGAGTCACCCCAATAATCTTCAGTAATCCTCATCCCACCATCCTCTACACATCAGGTATTCCAAAGTGTTTTTTTAATTGGTGAGCATGTGGAGGTGGCCAGTTTAACGACATCCGGAACAAAATTAGCACAACCCTCATGGTTTGGGGCCAGATATAGAGCCCAAGTCTGGTTCTGAGTAATATTTTTAACCAAGTTTTAACAATTAGTATCCTCTTTGTCCTTTTTCATGGACAGGCTCAAAAAAATGGTAAATTTAATGTAGAAAGAAGGAGATAAAAACTGTATGGTATAGAGCTGGGGAGATAGGGAAAATGGTTTTTCCTTCCATACAAACCTTTGCTTAGGGGGTTCTTCCAGCTTAACAGTTACGTGTCCTGAACACTTCCTTTAACCTGAGAGAATTCCAACCTGCTTCCTACCAAAAACAGTCTGGAAATACAAACGCCTACACCAAAATCAAAGAAATAAAAATTCCCATGTTGTATCTTCCAATAAATTACCCTCTGAGGAAGGTAAAAGAAAATTTGTTAGGAATGACACTGTATAAGAAAGTCCTCCTAATGCTTGTTCAAGCTGCCCAGGTGTTTCTAACTTGCAACCAGAGTGTACCAGACAATACCCCTGATTGTAACTTTAGGAGCAGCAAAGTGTCTGTTTTCAGGGGCCCAGCTGGTAGTAAAGAACTCACTACTGTGAGTGGGAGTGTGAAGGCTAGAAAGGCCTTAAAAGTGACTCACTGGCAGCAGCAGCAGTAATGAGAGAGGTTAGGGAAATCTCTAGCAACAACATCTCCAAGCAACAGCGTAATAGAGCCCAGAAGAAAATTCCTCAGGACGGGCCAGTTCAGTTCATGAGTCCCTCATTAGGGAGGTGGTTCATTAGGAAGCAGTATCAGAATATGTCACTGTATGGAGAAAATACAATAAAAATAAATTTAAAATAAAAAAAGTGTCATTAGCCATCTGTACACATGTTGAAACTTCAAGCAAAATTCACTTAGCAACATCAGCCACAGGTGGAGGCCCCTGGGCTGAGAAATGTGTCAAATACATGAATACTACAGGACTCTTGGAAGATATTTTTTTTTGTTTTTGGAAGAGATTTTTTTGATGGAAGGTTGAAACTGGAGGAAGTTCAGGGCAGATGGAAGGATAATTGGGTAAGAAAGTGAAGGGATATTTTTTCTACCCACAATGGCCTCTTTCCAAATTTTACTCTTTGCTCACTGTGTCTAAATTATGTGACTCGAAAAGGAGATTGATTTTGTATGGTTCAGAACTCCCAAATCACCATTATATGTGGCTTTTGCTCAAAAGATGAAAAAAGATGCCAACCAGCATCACCAAAAATGACTCACATTTATATAAATGAGGGGTCCAGGTGGGTAGGATTTGGGATAATATACAAGTTGATGGATTAAGAGCCAAGAGCAAATGATTAGGAGAAGACATTTGAAAGTGTATTCTAGTGAAGGGAGAACATGGCCTGGCTGTTGCCACCTACTTCGATTGGTTTGCTTCCAACACTTCCTTGCATATAGTGCTGTTCAGAGCATACTGAACACCTCTACTGGTTTTGGTCAACTCCCAGGCCAGGCACCACCCATAAAAGGAGGAAGAATGAGGACCAGAGAGGAGTTGTTTACTGGTATAGAATTTGTTTGCAAAATAAAAAAGGTCTTGGAAACTGGTTATACAACAATGTGAATATACTTTTCAGAAGTGTACGCGTAAAAAAGGTTAGAGTGGATTATAGACATCGAATTGTGTATTTTAAATTTAAGCAGTTTATTGTAGTCAATTATATCAATACAGATAAAGACGTGAAGCTTACTATGCTGACAGATCTGCGGGCTCCAGTGGGTTTGCGAATTCAGATTTCGCTGGCTCTATGGAGCGGGTTGACAGTTCCTGGGAGAGATCCTGGCTCCAAGCTGGCCCCAAGCTGGCCTGGCAAGGACGCGAGGTTGGAGTCTGAGTCATTAACTGGCCTAGGCCACTAGAAAGAGCCCTGCTGCGCGAGCAAGTGGCGGGCGCAGGGACTTTCAGCCCGCTGGCCAGTTATATCGCCTGTTTTTCAAAATTCACAAAATATCTCCGAATATTTGACCAGAAGAGTGTGAAACAGTCACCGATGGCCTCTCTTTCACTTTGTTTTATTATTTGGGCGAACAATGAGCAAATGTTGCAGGTCCAACCAGGCATCTCAGAAGACAGCCAAGGCCGTCAGGCCCCGACCTCACCCCACTATAAATAGTGGGCTCCCGGAGCCGCCGTTCTTTTCGTCCGAATTGCTACTTGGTAGCCAGGTTACCGTCCTTCTAAGGTGAGGATGGTGAGGGGTCTCCAGCGCCTCAGGCAGCCTTGCACAGCTGTCTGCCGGCAAGTATTCCAGGGCCCTGCTGGGTGAGGGGCCGCAGGCTCGGGCTGAGCAGGATGAATTACCATTACAGACTAGAGTTTCTGATGTCCGCGTGACGCCACTGCTTTGAACTGACGCAGTCCGGAGCATGGGGGGGTCTTGGCTAGAGTCCTACGAGCTTTTACTGACTCATTGGTTTCTTTACAGACGCTGATTTTCGCGGGTGCGTCTACAGCACAAGGGTGAGTGGATTGTGTGAGATGGAGTGGCTGCGGTTGCCCTGGGGTAGGATGGGGGTGATGATGACTCCCGGTGATTCTGAGTGTCTCGCTGACGCCATAACCGCAGCGCGCTGACCACCTCCCTCCCTGGACTGGGATCCCTGTTACCTGGCGCAGGGAGAAGTTGATGGCCAGGAACCCTTGTTAACCACATAACTCCTGTGTTTTATTTTCTCCACTAGGGCTTTAAGACGTAGACCAATGTGTTATCCTTGAGTAAAGGTGAGTGTTAGGTGTAAGCATACTCTAAGTACCTTTTCAGAGACTGTCTTGCTCCCAAGCTCTTTCATGGGGCACTGTGGAGTTTGCCTGCCTTTTATTTTTTATTTTCTGTATAGCTTTATTTTTATCTTTGACACTCTTACAGATATTCCACATGCCCCCCTTCCCCACCTCCACCCAGCCCCCTTCCCCCCTTCCCTTTAGCTTTCACCACCCTGTCGAGACTGCCTGCTTTCTAAGGTCACGTGCAAAAATGTAAACCTTTAACTTGATGGTTTTCCAAGGGCCACTTGATGGATTATATTTTTTGTGATGATTTGGTGAAAAACCTTTTGCAATTACCTATGTTATTGTCTAAGCCTGGTTAAACCTGCTTTCTCCATCCCTTTTTCTACATGCTGGGCTGGAGCAATTCTATGCAGTTTGTAACTTTATTTTCTATTTCTCTCAAACTACCTATTCCTATGACTTCACATGTTCTAGATCTTTTCCCAGAATAGCTTTCCTTGATCCAGGTCTCCCTGATTTGGGAATGATGATTTCTCAGACTAGAGTCACTGACACTGGTCTTGATGTCAAAAATTAAGTTCTGACTCATTTGGGAAACTGGAATTTGAGTCTCTGAGAAGGCCCAGTGGGTGGGCAGTAACTCGTTTGTCCTTTTTCATTTGTTGTCCTGTTTTCCTGTTTCTAGCATGAGCTCTGGAAGCCCAGCCAGTGGCGGTGCCCCTTCCCAGATTCACCACTAAACCGGTGACTGAAAGCCTAAGGTTACTGCTGTTGGAAAAGTACTGTTGTGATGGCTGGGATGCCTAGGTAATGGTTCCTGCCTCTTCATGCTGTTTGACAAGAGCCATAGTCCTTCTCTTGGGCTACTGTGGTGAGTCTGCAGGTTTTTCTTCCAGCCCCAGAGTGGTAGTGATGATCTGGTTGGACTACAGCCTCTGAACATTTTCTCTCAGGATCTTAGAAACCACCTGACGCACTCATCGCTCTTTAAATTTTTTTTTTTTGTTGTTTTTAGAAAGAGGAGAAGGGAGGGGAAAGGGGAGAGAAGCATCCACTGGTTGCCTCTCACAGGTGCCCTAAGCCAGGCCACCAGGGCTGCAGGTAGGGCCACTCTTACACTTTTAAAAAATTTTTATTTATTTAGAAGGGAAGGGAGGGAGAGAAGGAGAGAAATATCAATGTATGGTTGCTTCTGGTGCATCCCCTGCTGGGAACTGGCTTGCAACCCAGGCATGTGCCCTGACGGGGAACTGAACCGTGACCTTTTGGATCGAAGGCCCGTGCTCAATCCACTGAGCTACACTAGCCAGGGCTTACACTTTTTTTTAAATGTTATTTTAGAGATAGAGCAAGGGACAAAGAAAGGATGAGAAAAATCGATGTGTGAGAGAGAAACGGTTTGATCAGTTGCCTCTAACACACCCCCAACCAGGGACCTGGCCATCCTGACTGGGAATAGAACTGGAAACCTTTCCATTCACAGGCCAGCGCTCTTATCACTCTTAAGCCTCCCTTTTTTTTCTTGCCATCTGGCAACTCTTCTGCCAGCCCAGCTTTCTGTTTTAATGACAGTTACCTGTATAGTTCTGATACATGTTCCTTTTATGAGATTTCAGGATTTTACTGACAAAAAGTACGCCCTCTGTCTGGTTTTGGGCAGATCGTAGGAACTTCCTGCATTAGCCAGTGTGAGCAGCTGTCAACTTACTGAAGAGAAAAACTGCCTTGAAATTTGGGGGAGCTTAAATATCGTGTATCTTTTGCTTCACTGTCTGAAATAAGTACTTGGTTTTATTAAAAGGATTCTAATAAAATATATTAAAGAAAATAAAGTAGATTCTTTGGTCTCAGTGAAAACAAGATGGTTCAAAAAGATTTAGGAAAGTGAATAGCAGCAGCCACCAATGAAGGAGCATTACAGTTGACATCTTGCTGTACCTCTTTATAGGTGTGTATAAAAAACTGGAATTAGATTGTGCCACATTGACATTGTTAAGGATTTCTAGAATGTGTCAAAATAATTCTAATGTACTAGATGCTGTTAACAAGGATTTGGGATTTTTATGATGAACAGTACTAACATGTAGTCACTTAATTTGCCTTCTGATAAATTGGTGAAAATATAGGTTGTTTAGATGTATTTTAAAAGAACATTCTTACTGGTGGTTGCTAGGATGGGGAGTTTAATGGGTTGTAGTTTTACAAGATGAAAAAACTTACGGAGATAATGTGGTGATTATTTTATCACTAGCTTGTGTACCTATTGACTGATCTTTAAAAAATTGCATTTCTGCATTTTTTTTCTTTTTTTAAAATTTTATTTTTAGAGAGGGGAAGGGAGGGAGAAAGGAAGGGTAACATCAATATGTGGTTGCCTCTTGGGCACCTCCTGCTGGGGACCTGTCCCACAACCCAGGCATGTGCCCTAATTGGGAATTGAACCCATGACCCTTTGTTTTGCAGGCTGGCACTCAGTCTGGAAGGGTCAAGCCAGTTTTCCATCACACTGGACTGCCCATGACTGAATTATCCCAATTTAGTTTTCAGCTCACAGCTTGGTGGAAACTCCCACCTCCCACAATAGACATCTGATGCCAGCCATATTGGCCAGTGATCAGACTGACCTTATTGTACCTGTGAACAGCTCAGCCCTTTACCTAACCTGTTGTCCCAACTTAACATCTTGAAACCCTGAGGCACCAGCTTTGAACAACAAGGGGCTAACCCTTCCCCTATCCACCTCAAACCCTTTATTTTAAACGTCCCATTCTTGGTTTTGGGGGGAGTGGCTACAGCATCAAATAAAGGCACTCTGATCATATCTGGTTCTAATAATCCGCTGAGCTACACCAACTAGGGCTGCATTTTTTTACCTATTGAACATTTCTAGCTTGATTCCCATTACTTAAACTGATCAGCAAAGATTTTCGTTTTTAAAGATGGTATGTATGTGTGTATGTAGAGAGAAGGGAAGGAGAGAAACGTCAGTGAGGGGCCTGCAACCCAAGCATGTGCTGTGACCCAGAATCAAGCCAGCAACCTTTTGTCTGTGGGATGATATCCAGCCCACTGAGACACATCAGTCAGGGCATCCTTTATCTATCTTTTAAAAAAGATTTTAAGCCCTGGCTGGCATAGCTCAGTGGATTGAGCGCGGGCCTGCGAACCAGAGTATCGAGGTTCGATTCCCAGTCAGGGCACATGCCTGGGTTGCAGGCCAGTTCCCAGCAGGGGACTCATGAGAGGCAACTATACATTGATGTTTCTCTCCTCTCCTTCCAAGATAAATAAATAAAATATTTTAAAAGAACTTAAAGAATAAATAAGATTTTTAGAGGGGAAGGGAGGGAGAACGAAGGAAACATCAATGTGGTTGCCTCTCATGTGCACCCCACTGGAGTTGTGGCCTATGACCTTTTGGTTCAAAAGCCCATTCTTAATCCACTGAGCAGCTGCCAGGAGGTCTGTGCTTTTTACATGCCTTGTTTAATTGAATCCCTCAAAATCAACTTTGCTCACTTTACTGCCAAGGAAAGGAAAGCTGAGGGATGTTTAATAATTTCCTTAAGCAGGGCGTCAAACTCTTAATCGGGGGCCACATCAGCCTTGCGTTGCCTTTAAAGGGCTGAAAGTAATTTTAGGACTGCATAAATGTAGTTTACTCCTTAACTAGGGGAAAGGGGCTCGATGCTGCCACTGGGTAGAAGCAAGGTGGAGGGCCGGATTCAGCCCGCTGGCCTCGTTTGCTGCCTGTGGCTTTAGGCATGCTCTGTGTCTTCCCCAAGGTACGTTGCCTTTACATTCCTCTCTCCTAAGCTTCACAGACCCTTCTTTTGCCTCTGTAATGTGTGATTCTTGAACCCCTTTCTTGTACATCTCACTTCTACGTTTGACTTTCTAAATGAAGTTTGTCTCGTTAAAAAAATATTGCTTAATCCCAGAGAGGGGAAGTGTCAGGACTCACGTTCCATTGTCTCCAATGAACCAGTCCATCACCTGGCTTTAGAACATCAATAATTGAAGCAAATCTGCCTTTGACATTTCCCTTTTTCCCCTTCTGGATTGGAGGAAACCATGCAGTTCAATTGTGGCTTTATCATTCTCTGTTCTTTATGCTTTTTAAAAAATATATATATATTTTATTGATTATGCCATTACAGTTGTTCTATTTCCCCCCTTCATTCCCCTCCACCCTGCATACCACCTCCCCCACCATTCCCCCCCTTTAGTTTATGTGCACATGTCTCAAGTTCTTTAGATTCTATATGTCCCATACTATTCTTGCCCTCCCCCCTATTTTCTACCTACCGTCTATGCTACTTATTCTCTGTACCTTTTCCCCCCTTCTCCTCCTCCCACTCCCCTGTTGCTAACCCTCCATGTGGTCTTCATTTCTATGGTTCTCCTGATCTAGCTGTCCTCTTAGTTTGCTTTTGTTTTAGTTGTGGTGGTTAATAACAGGGTTTGCTGTCCTTTCACTGTTCATATTTTTATCTTTTTCTTAGATACGTTCCTTTTCTTTTTTAAAGATTTTATTTATTTATCTTTAGAGGAGAAGGGAAGGAGAGAAACATCAATGTATGGTTGCCTCTTGTGAGTCCCCTGCTCCCCTGCTGAGAACTGGCCTGTACCCGAGGCATGTTCCCTGACTGGGAATCGAACCACGATCATGTGGTTTGCAGGCCTGCGCTCAATCCACTGAACTACACCAGCCAGGGAGATAAGTTCCTTTAATATTTCATATAATAAGGGCTTGGTGGTGATGAACTCCTTGAATTTGATCTTATCTGAGAAGCACTTTATCTGCCCTTCCATTCTAAAAATGAAAGCTTTGCTGGATAGAGCAATCTTGGATGTAGGTCTTTGCATTTCATGACTTGGAATACTTTCCAGCCCCTTTTTGCCTGTAAGGTTTGAGAAAGCAGCTGACAGTCTGATGGGAATTCCTTTGTAGGTAACAGTCCCTTTATCTCTTGCTGCTTCTAGGATTCTCTCCTTCATTTTAATCTTGGCTAATTACAATGTGCCTTGGTGTGTTCCTTCTTGGGTCCAACTGCTTTGGGACTCTCTGAGCTTCCTGGATTTCCTGGAAGTCTACTTCCTTTGTCAAATTGGGGGAGTTCTCTTTTATTATTTGTTCAAATAAGTCTTCCACTTGTTGTTGTTCCTCTTCCCCTTCTGGTACCCCTATAATTCGGATGTCGGAACATTTGAAGATGTCCTGAAGGTTCCTAAGCCTCTCCTCATTTTTTTTGAGTTCTTTCTTCATTGTTTTCTGTTTGGTCATTTTTGCCTTCCTTCTGGTCCACTCCCTTGATTTGAGTCCCAGTTTCCTTTCCATCATTATTGGTTTCCTGTGCATTTCCCTTTATTTCAATTAGTTTAGCCTTCATATGTTCCTCTAATTTGTGACTAAAATCAACCAGTTCTGTGAGCATCTTGATCACCAGTGTTTTGAACTGTGCATCTGATAGGTTGGCTATTTCTTGGTCGCTTAAGGTTATTGGCTCTGGGGCTTTGAGTTCTTGAGCCATAATGTTTTGGTCTGTTCGCACCTGTTAGTATGAGGAGCAGAGCCCTAGGTGTTACCAGGGTGGGGCCACTCAGTAGCTGGGTTGTGACACTGTATGTGGGGGTGGGATTAGAGAGGGGCAGTATTGGTCCCCTCTGCTGCTTCCCACCGTTGGGGCCTGCACAGTCCATCTCACTGCATGCTCCTTCGCCTGGTTTATCTGTGCACAAGTGTGTGACCTCGTTAGTTTGCCACCTTGCGCCCTCATTGGATCTGCCTGTCACAACCCTGCTCTGCCAGTTCCTGGCTCTGCCCCTCTTACCAGTCTGGCTGAATGGTTCACTCATTGTCAGACTTCCATATAGTTCAATTTTCTGTGTTTTGGTTGCGTTTTTGTTACTAAAACTTTGTTGTCTTTAAACTTGGTTATGTGAGGAGGCACAGTGTTTCCACCTACGCCTCCATCTTGGCTGGAAGTCCCCTGTTCTTTATGCTTTTATTCTGCATTCTTGTTACAGTGTTTGGTTTTTGTTATCTTCTGGAATTTCATAAATATGGATTAATTCTACATGTAGTTCTACTGCAACTTGCTTTTTTCATAAATGCATTTTTCTGGGGTGACTATCTTATAGTAAATATAGGGGACTAGTTAAGATTTGGGAGCCAAACTGAATACTTTTTTTGCATAAATTAACTTACCACACAATGTCCTCATTTGTAAACGGATAAAAGAGTGCCCACCCTTACAGAGTTGTAAAGGTAGGTGGTAGGTACATGCCCTTAAAACAGTGCTTACTTAGCACATAGCAGACCCTATTAGGTATTAGCTGTAATCATATTCTGGTAGCTTAGTCATAACTTACACTTAGTCACTACCTCAGTCACCGTTACTTAAAACCCCTGGCATCCCTTTTAGATGGTCAATTTCATCTTATCCATAGGGTCTCGTACTGTTGCCCTTACTTGTGTGGTCCTTCCCTGGCTGTGGGACCCTCAGTCCTCTGCCAACCCCAGTTTTGGAGTATAAGATTGAGCTACAGCCATGGTGAAGGTGGTCTAGTGAAACTTTATTCCAGGCTTGGAAATGACTTGTCTTCTGTATCCTAGAGCCCCACAGCATGGCCTCAGAGTTGATGATTTGATAAAACCTCCACCCCAAGACATGGTCTTCCCTGTCCCACCAGGTTCTAGGAGTGGCGCAACTTCAGAAGAAGTTGAATTCCAAATGCGTGGGATTGTTAGCTGTTACATTCAGTATAGTAGTCACCCAGGTTGTGGTGGGTGGGGAAAGAGGGTGATCAGTCAAGGATGTGTACTTGGGGCAGCAAACTCGAAATTATTAACAACCATACCTAAAACAGCAAACAACTAGAACAGGAACAGAACCACAGAAACAGAGATCACATGGAAGATTAGCAACAGGGGAGTGGGGGGGAGGTACAGAGGTTAAAGTAGCATAGATGGAGAAGGCAAAAACAGTATGGGAAATGTAGAAGCTTAGAGAACTTATGACACATGGACATGAACTAAAGGGGGTGGGAGGGGGGTGGGAGGGGTGTGCAGGGTGGAGGGGAATGAAGGGAGGGAAATGGGACAACTAATAGCATAATAAAATATTTTTTTAAAATATGTTTGCATATATGAACTATTTAACTTAAAAATGTTTGGGGGCCTCTGAATGTTGAAGGGTTGAGCAAAAACAAAAGTTAAGCCACCACACGGACACTGCTGGGCTCCAGAGTTGGCACTCCTCTTGAAGACAGCAGTTCCCAAGATGAGCCAAAATAAAAAGCATGGACTTACTCACGCTCTGGGGCAAGTCAGCAGGCACAGTAAGAAATGATAAAATGACAAAAGGACTCTTGGAGGCTGAAGATGGTCAGAGGTGAAGGAAAAAACTTCATGCATTGTGCAGGAACAGCATTATTAAAAAAGCAGGCAGATTTGAAAAAGGCAAGTAGAAACTCAAGAATTGGAATAATTAGATAAGCACAATGAACATGTCAAATAACAGACCAGCTGAATAGAGGATTAGTGTGAATTAGAAGAAAATCTAATGTGGCGTAGAGAAAATATGAATAATAGGAAGAGGGAGCTAACGGATGGTATGAGATGCTCCGACCTTAAGCATATATTTTTTGTGCAGAGCTGTCCTCACTACCTGATTGATTTGTTAACACTGGCACCATCTTTAGCTCTGCCTGTGGCGCATGAGGGCATCTGGCTTCCAGCAGCTCAGGGCCAGCTGTTAAGTATGTAACTTTGTCATATTTTCTTGTCCATTAACATTCTGCATAATGATTATGTTTTGATTGTTGTGCTTTTTCCCAAAGAATGAGGAAACATTCTTAAGTGTTAAAGTACCTGCTGACCCTTAAAATGTCAAACTACAGTCAGGTGAACCTCAGGTGGAAGTGAGTCACATTCTAGGCTGGCTGTTGCCTGTCATAATACCATCAAGTAGCAGGAAGAATACTGTAAAGAATACCCACATAGCCATATACCCATCACCTAAATCCAACAATTGTCAACAATTTTCCATTTTAGAAAATACAGCAAAAATACTGTGTGAGTATACATGTCATATATATCATTGACCCTTGAACTACAGAAATGACGAGTTTGAATGGATACCTTGGGAGGATCATTTTTTAGCCTACCACATGCTATGTATTGCACAGCACCTTGTATCAGGATCATTTATTCTTTGTTAAAAAAAAAAATGGGTTTAACGTTTCAGAGCTCTGGTGGAATGGAGGGCAAAACCTCCATTCTAGGAAACAGCCCTTTGAGGCGAATTTTGGCTGAGTGACCAACCTATGTTTATAAATACTCAAAAGAAAAAAAAATTTTAATTGCAATACTGTTTAGCTTATGTGTAATCTGGACTCAGGAGAGTGCCGGTCACTGAATGGGTCTTTAAATTACTATGTTATACTGAGATTGGAGTTGTCAAAGACCAAGGAAGTTGGATGAAATGCCTTACATAGAAGCTTTCATGAGTTTACATAATAAAGATAAAGGATTAAAAGGAAATAAATTAGTGGTGCAGAGGAAAGGGACCAGGAGGACATAGATATTAAGGCTGCTGTGAGCATGGTCAGGGTTCCCAGGGCCCCTTCAGCCCTGAAGGACCTTCCTCCAACTGAGGGAGGTGGAGGAAGTGAGCCTGGACTGGTCTCTGGTAGACCAGAAACTAATTTGGTAGAGGAGAACCCCTGCTGGGGCAGGGCAGTACCCTTTGTGGAGATTTCCAGTGGGAGTAGGGCCAGAAGGCCAGCAGCCACTGGATATTATTGGGCACATACTCCATTTTCTACATCAGACCTGTTAAACTGGAAAAACTAAAGTCCTTAATTTTTTTTAATTGATTATGCTGTTATCAAAAGAGACCTTACAGGCAAGAAGGGGCTGGAAAGAGGTATTCCAAATCATGAAATCTAAAGACCTACAACCAAGATTGCTTATCCGAAACTTTATTTAAAATGGAGGAGAGTTTCTAGTGCTTAAGAGATATTCATACTGAAGTGACTGGCATAGTTATGTCAATTTTTGCTACACACCATCTCAAATGGGCAGACATACAAGCCTTACTAAATATTTTGTTTCTGTGGGATGAATAGAGGCTGGTGTTGGGTAAGGCAAATGAAGAGGCTCTGAGACTGCACCAAGACAGTCCAGATGGGACTTCTGACCCTACTAAGGCAACACCTTTTTACCCAAGCCCAAATAGGACCCCAATGAGAATGCTCCAAGGAGCACTGTAAGTAGTGTATCCTTGAGGGACTAAAGAAAGTCTGTACGCAGAAAAGTCTATGGTGAAAGCACAACAAAAGCCCACAGAGGACCCCTCTGGTTTTCTTGAAAGGATCTACCAGGCCTATGGGAAATACGCTGATTGGGATCCACAAGCCCCTGAAAATATTAGAATGCTGAATATGGCGTTTGTCTCTCAAAGTACACCCTGACATCAGAAAGAAACTTCAGGAGTTAGAGGGAGGAATAGGAAAGAATCTTTCGCAATTAGTAGATATTGCCTTCAAAGTTTATTATAATAGAGAAGGAAAAAAAGGCCCAATCAGCCATTATTTTCTTGGAACAGGCCTCAGCAATTCCATTGATGGGCAAGAGGCACCAACCGCCGTCTATAATGCTTGCCACTGATCAATGTGCATAATATGCACAGGAAAGGGGCACTGGAAAATTGAGTGCCCCAAGTACGGGAAAAAGGGCCAGAGTCTGAGCACTTGAGCGAGTTATGCCGAGAAAAGGGATTTACTCAGATGATGACCCAGAGGTTCTCTTATTACAACAACCTATTAAAGTCACCCCCCCAGGAACCTCCAGTGAAGCTAGCCATGGGGGGACAAACTAGATTATTTTATTGATACCAGAGCAACATACTGCATGGTCAGTAGACCTCTGAGTCCCCACAGCAGGCTATAACTGTAACTGGAATTCCTGGAAGCCCTGAAAACCAATGTTTCTGGAAATCGTTAGATTTCAAGAAATCTGGCTGATGTGGCTCAGTGGATTAAGTGCTGGCCTGAGAACCAAGGGGTCGCCAGTTCGATTTCCAGTCAGAGCACATGCTTGGGTTGTGGGTCAGCTCCCTAATAGGGGGTGCTTAAGAGGCAACCACACTTGATGTTTCTCTCCCTCTCCCTTCTCATCTCTCTAAAAATAAATAAAATCTTTTTAAAAATGTGCCATTAGAGATAGGCTTTTAACTCATAAATTCTTTTAAAGATTTTATTTCTTTGGAGATCACATGGAGGGTTAGCAACAGGGGAGTGGGGGAGGAGAGAGGGGGAAAAGGTACAGAGAATAAGTAGCATAGATGGTAGGTAGAAAATAGACGGGGAGGGCAAGAATAGTATGGGAAATGTAGAAGCCAAAGAACTTATATGTGGACACATGGACATGAACTAAAGAGGGGAAATGTGGGTGGGAGGGGGTGTGCAGGGTGGAGGGGAATAAAGCGGGGAAAATGGGACAACTATAATAGCATAATCAATAAGATATATTTTTAAAAATTATTTCTTTATGTTTAGAGAGAAGAAAGGAGGGAGAAGGAGAGGGAGAGAAATGGTCAAAGTGTTGTCTCTTGCATATCCCTACTGGGTACCTAGCCCACAACCCACGCAAGTGCCCTAGAGTGGGAATTGAACCGGTGACCTTTTGGTTCATGGGCCAGAGCTCAATCCACTGAGCCACACCAGCTAGAGCTAACTCATAAACTCTTATATATTCCTTGGTGTCCAGTTCTTCTGGGAAGGGACTTGCTGTCAAAACTCTGAGCCTAGATCACTTTTTCTGCAGAGGAGCAACAGCTTCACCTACTGGTTACTCTGGAGCATGCATGGCAATTCTTCATGCAGTTGTGCAGGGAAGAGAAAGAAGCAGATCCCTGGTGAGAAGAAATCAAGAATCAGATAAATCTCATTGTGTGGGCTGCTGGAAGGCCAGGGAGGGCTGAACTGGCATCCTCTGTTAAAGATGACCTCAAACCAGGGGCAGGAACTCCCAATAGGAGGCAGTATTGCTTGTAGAAAGAGGTCCAAAAAGAATATACCCCAAAATTCAGAAGTTTCAAGAATGTGGACCTACTCAGCCCTGCTGCTCTCCATACAGTACACCCATATTGCCCAGTACGAAGCCTCACTCAAATGAATATCAGTTTGTATAAGATTTAAGGGCCAAATGACATTGTACATGACATTCACCCTACTGTCCTGGACCTTTATATTGGGGTAAACAATATACCTGGGGACAGCCTTTGATATTCAGTATTGGACTTAAAAGTGCTTTCTTTTGCATTCCAGTTGATCAAGACTCTCAACTGTTGTTTCCTTTTGAATGCAAGGACCTGGAATTTCAAGTCAAGACTCAGTACTGCTGGGTAGTTTTACCACAAGAGTTTGAGAACACCCCCACAGTTTGGGGGGAGGCCCTGAGTCAGGACATAAAGGACCTAAGACTAGAAGGAGGAACTGTGTTACAATGTGTAGACAACCTCTTAACTTCCAGGACATAATTTCAGCAATGTTTAACTAACACCATAGCTACCTTGAACCATCTGGCATCTTGTTGCTGTAAAGTATCGGCAGAGAAGGTTCAGATTTGCCAACAGACAATAAGGTTTCTTGGGTTTCTGCTTGAACCTGGCAAAAGGAGTCTTACTGGAAACAGAAAAGAAACCATAATTCAAATGAGTGTTCCTAACACCGGGAAACAGGAGAATTCCTGGGGATGGCAGACAACTGCCGCATTTGGATTCCAAACGTTGGGTTCATTGCTAAACCACTGCATGAAGCTCTGAAAGGACTGGAACATAGCCCTTTAGAGTGGATGAAGGAGTGCACTCAGGATTTTGAGTCCCTGAAGGTGCACCTGGCTTCTTCACTGGCCTTGGGGCTTCCAAACCTACTGAAGCCCTTCCAATTTTATGTTCATGAAAGGCAGGGTGTTTAGTGAGATTCTTCAACCCATCGCATACTTGTCAAAGAAACTAGATCACATTGTCCAGGGGTGATCAGCCTGCTTGAGAGCTATGGCAGCCACCTGTGAACTTTTACAGGAAGCTGAAAAGTTTTCCTTGGGACAGCCTATCACCATTTATGCACCCCACCAAATGATGAGCCTGCTGGGGCAAAAAGGAAATTGGGGGCTCACTGCTGGAGGAATGGGCAGATACTGAGCCATTCCTCTCAACAATTCCAATGTCTCCCTCAAAACTGTAAGTTAAATCCTGCCTCTCTTCTCCCAGAGCCTGATTCGGCTGCACTGATACATGACCGTGCTGAGATAACAGATGAAGTAAGTATATTGGAGCAGAACTGATTTACAGGGCCATTCTCTAGAAGAGGCAGACTGGGCTGTCTATGCAGATGGAAGCAGTTCTATGGACAAAGGAAGCAGAAAGGCTGGGTGTGCAGTTGTGACTCTTGAAGGAACAGTAGAGACATAGGCCTTAGTGCCAGGAACCTCTGCTCAGAAAGCTGAACTGATTTAACTGACGAGGACACTGGAACTGTCACAAGAAAAGATAGTGAATGTGTATAATGAGTCACAGTACATGTTCCTAATTTTGCATGCATATGGTTCTATCTGGAAGGCAAGAGAATGATTAACCTCCAATAAAAAGGAAATTAAGCATGCAGCAGAAGTTTTTTAATTGTTCATGTACCTTTACAGGTGGCAGTTACACACTGCCCCAGACATCAGAAAGAGGACACTGAAGTGGCTAAATGAAACAACCCCGCCGATCAAGCAGTAAAAGGCTTCAAAATAAACATTTAAAATGCCTTTGGTACCTGTTCTAGATCTGTCACAATTTGACCCTGAATATTTGACTGTAGACTCAAAGAAAGCTTAGACTTAGGGTTTTGATAAAGAAAGTCCTGATAGCAGAAAGAAAAGGAATAAGAAAGGAGTTATACTGCTTCCTGAACATTAAGTAGAGCCAGTCATGAAACATTTGCACGAGGCCACTCACTATGGAAGGGACTCATTAACCTCCTATATGAAACTGGGTGGCTCACAGGTCCTGGAATTTCTAAAGCCATCCGGAAAACTATAGGTAGATGTGTTGTGTGCTGGAAGAACAACCCCAAGACAGATCCCCATGCAAAACAAGAAGGGAAACAATACCGAGGACAGTGCCAGTTTGAGGACTAGCAAGTAGATTTTACCCAGATGCCAAAGGTCCAAGGGTGGAAATATTTGTTAGTCTTTGTTGATGCCTTTTTAGTATAGGTGGAAGCCTTTCCTACCAGAACTGAGAAATCCTCAGAGGTTGTGAAAGCCCAACTGAAGGAAGTAATTCTTCGCTTTGGCCTACTCAGCAGCGTCCAGAGAGATAATGGACCTGCTTTTGTTTCAGAAATTACATGGAAGCTTAATAAATTTTTAGGAATCAAGTGGGGACTCCACAAGACATGGAGAGCTCAGGCTTCTGGGAAGGTAGAGAAAATGAATCACACCTTGAAGGAAAATATCGCCAAGCTCTGCCAAAAAACTCATCTTCATTGGGATCAAGCTTTACCTGTTGCCCTGCTCAAGGTAAGGGTGGCTCCTCAAAGTGGGATTCAGTTGAATCTTTATGAAATTGTGTACGGGTGGCCATTTCAGGCTATAATTGGGGTGGGAGATATGTATGAAGATCAAGAAGTGAAGGTAAAGAAATGTGTACCACATTTAAGTCACACCTTACCTGTAATTAACAACCTTGCTTGTATTGGAGACCTCTCCCCCACACATTTGGCTACATTCCTTTGAGCCTGGAGACAAGGTGCTACTTAAGACTTGGAAGTCAGGATCCCCAGAGCCAACCAGAAGGAGAGTGGACTGGACCTTGGAATGTACTCCTCATCACTCCAACCGCAGTGAAATTGGCAGGAATAAAACCTTGGATTCCTCACACCACAGTAAAGAAAGCACCGGAGGAACAATGGACTGCCGAACCTCAAGAAGACCTGAAAGTCATCTTTCGAAAACAATGCCTTATATTCTTTTCATTACTTTTTGTTTAACCCCATGTTATGGAGAACTTGTTCCTTTCAAATGAGATGAAAATATTGGGTATATTTAGGGAAAATGTTCTAAACTTCTTTGATTTTTGTCTTGCAGAAGGAACTTACATTGAACAAACTTTCACTTCTTGTCTTAGAGGTGTTTGTGCTCCCTTGGAAAGCCTTTGAAATAAGAACGTAACCTACTTTGATATTTGTAACTGGGGACCTATCGTAACTCTAAAGGACAGGGAAATGTTTTCTTAACAATTACTAATGTAGCACTGGTTGATGTGGCTCAGTGAATTGAGCACCAGCCTGTGAACCAAAGGGTCACTAGTTCGATTCTCAGTCAGGGCACATGCCTGGGTTGTGGGCTGGGTCCCTGGCATGGGGTACGTGAGAGGCAACCACACATTGATATTTCTCTCCCTCTCTTTCTCTCTCCCTTCTCCTCTTTCTAAAAATAAATAGAATATTAAAATAAAATAATTCAGTAATGTAGCTCCTGCTGGAGAGCGTGCAACTTTTGTCACCTGTACTAAAAACTGTTTTATGCTTTCAGCATATGTGGAGATGAATTGTACCACCACTAATGTGTTTTATGCCTTTAGTCATATCCGATTGCCTGAAGGATGGCTTCTAATATGTGGAGGAACTGTTTATTCCTGTGTTTCAACAAACAGTTCTGGGGGACCATGCTCTCTGGGAAGACTGATGGTGTTTATACCTCAGAAGCCCCACACCACTCAGGCTTGATAGTAACAAGCCTGCACCTGAATGTAACAGAGATTTGCAGCTTTTTTTTAGCCCTGCTGAATATGTGTCTTTGACTATATTTGTAATGCCAGCCATGGCAACCTTTTTGGATGTAGAAATGGGTAGATTAGCCTGTGCTATGGCAAAAGCTTCAAGTGCCACCTCACAAACCATTAGTCAAGAACTAGGACAAGTTAGAGAAGCAGTATTAGAAAACCATACAGCTATAGACTACCTCTTTTTAAGACATAATCATGGATGTGAAGAACTTGAAGGACACTGCTGTTTCAACCTGACTGATAATTCACAGATCCCAGAGCATAGAGTGAAGCAAATACATGAAGTAGAGTCCAAGAGAAAGCAAAGAGAGGGATTCTTTGGTATTGATTTGTCTGAACTAGCCTCTGGGCTGCCTAGTGTTGCTGGTTTAGAGACGTTTTTGTTGTTTTCATTCTTTTCATCTTGGTCAGTATAATAGTGTGTTGTTGCATACAATGTACTCCCTTATGAGGATCTGCAATTGAGTGTATTCCTGACTCGCCACCAGGTGGTCTAATGCTAAGATACGTGCTCAACAGTGAAGTGGATACTTCCATATGACACTGATCACATAGAAATAAGATAGTTTAACAGTGGTGGGAATGATAGGGGAACTCAAGAGTCGGAAAGGTTTAGTTTTAAATACTAGTTACTAATCATTAATGTATGTAAAAAGCTATTGTTTTAGGAATTGAAGGTAGTGACAGGCAGTACAAACTCTAACTTTTCCGGTTTCAAGAGGAAGGGAGAGAGAGAGAAACACTGCTTTTGTTGTTCTGATTATTTACATATTCATTAGTTGATAATTGTATGTACCCTGACCCTGGGATCAAACTTGAGCAACTTTGGCATATGTGGACAAGGCTCTAATCAACTGAGCTACCCAACCAGGGGATAAGAATTAATTTTAACAAGGTCTGTTTGTATAGCACTGTCTTGGTCTCAACTCCTGGTACAGGGAGAACAACTTTCAAATGGGAGTTTGATATTCTGCTTTCAGGAGGAAGAAGAAGGTCAGATTTATTCTTCTTGTACCTGCTGTTTCTCAAGTGCCTTTACTCAAAATAATCAATATGCTAAAGCAGCATATTTTGGGGTAACATGCTTTGAACTCCTTCACCTGAGTTAATTATTTAAGTTTGCAAAATAATGGTTTTCTAATTTGATTATTCTTTTCTGCACTTAGTAGCTGACATTCCTTTGTACAATAAGTAACTAATAAGTCAACTTTCATCAACTGGTACTTTATCTAACTTGAATTACTTGCTGTTGCTGCAAAGGCAGGATAAATGATTTATCCTATTCCTTTGTTTACAGTACTGTTTGTAAGGAGTTGGTATAAAAGTCTTCTCCAATGGTGGCAAATGAATTCCACCTATTTTTATATACCTGAGTCCAAGAAATTTCCTTGTTGTTCCTCTGACTTTATCAAATGTCTTGCCAAGACCCAGACATGCTGACACACAAACCTTCCTGTGATCTCTCCATTTAGAACTGTGGCCAAGGAACTGCCGCTGGGGTTGGCATGACATTCTCAGTGAAGCCATGCTAGTCCCCAGACATTGCTCCCAACCAGGCTCCCACTTCCAGTATCAAGGGCATCTCAATATATCCAGGGATTCCAAATATCAAAACCAAGCTTTGGCCCTGGATGGTGTGACTCAGCGATTGAGCACCAGGCTGTGAACCAAAGGGTTGTACGTTCGATTTCCAGTTGGGGCACATGCCTGGATTGCAGGCCAGGTCCCCAGTGGAGGGCATGTGAGAAGCAACCACACATTAATGTTTTTTTTTCCCTTTCTTTCTCTCTCCCTTACCCTCTCTCTAAAAACAAATAAACAAACAAATAAAACAAAAACCAACCTTTGTAAAAGTCAAACATCACTGGTCCCTTAAATTGGTGAACTGATAGGAAGATAGCAAAACTGGGCTTAAGGTACTGAAGCAAAAGATGACTATGTATCTTTACTTCCCCCTCCAGCCTCACCTTCTTTGTTTTAAAAAAGATTTTATGGACTTCCGCCAAGATGGAGGCATACGTGGAAGCATGGTGCCTTCTTGCACAACCAAGTTTAAAACAACAAAGGTTTAGCAACAAAAACGCATCCAAACCACAGAAAATTGAACTATATGGAAGTCTGACAACAACAAACCCTTTAGCCAATCCAGTAATAGGGGCAGAGTCAGCAGCAGAGCTGAGTCAGGCAGGAAAGATCCAGCAGACCGACCCGGGCACACGACCCAGGTGTGCCAGTAGCCGTGGGCAGATCCCAGGTGTGGAGAAGCGGGTGGACCCACTGAGCTCACAAAGTGGCAGACCCACTGAGGGCTGATCACAGTCACACATTTGCACGCAGATAAACGGCGAAGGAGCGAGCATTGAGACTGAGACAGAACACACAGGCCCCAGTGGTGGGAAGCGGCAAAGGAGACCGATATTGTCCTTCTCTGACCCCACCCCAACATACAGTGTCACAAACCAGAAACCTGGGTGGCCCCTCTCTGACCCATCCCCACATGCGGCATTACAAACCAGCAACCTGGGTGGCCCTGCCCTAGTGAACGCCTAAGGCTCCGCCCTTCATATGTAACAGGCACAAACAGATCAAAACATGGCTCAAGAACAACTCAGAGCCCCGGAGCCAATAAATCTAAGCAATGAAGAAATAGCCAAACTTTCAGATGCACAGTTCAAAACACTGGTGATCAGGATGCTCACAGAACTAACTGGTTGATTTTAGTCACAAATTAGAGGATCATATGAAGGCTAAACTAATTGAAATGAATGGAAATGCACAGGAAATCAATAGTAATGGAAAGGAAATTGAGACTCAAATCAAGGGAGCAGACCAGAAGGAAGGAAAAAATGACCAGACAGAAAAATATGAAGAAACAAGAATTCAAAAAAATGAGGAGACGCTTAGGAACCTCCAGGTCATCTTTAAACGCTCCAACATCTGAATTATAGGGGTACCAGAAGGAGAAGAGGAACAGTCATGAGTGGAAACCTTATTTGAACATATAATAAAAGAGAACTTCCCCATTTTGGTAAAGGAAATAGACTTCCAGGAAATCCAGGAAGCTCAGAGAGTCCCAAAGCAGTTGGACCCAAGAAGAAACACACCAAGGCACATCATCATTACATTAGCCAAGATTAAAATGAAGAAGAGAATCCTAGAAGCAGCAAGAGATAAGGGGACAGTCACCTACAAAGGAGTTCCCATCAGACTGTCAGCAGATTTCTCAAAAGAGACCTTACAGGCAAGAAGGGGCTGGAAAGAAGTATTTCAAGTCATGAAATCCAAAGACCTACAACCAAGATTGATCTATCCGGCAAAGCTTTCATTTAGAATGGAAGGGCAGATAAAGTGCTTCTCAGATAAGATCAAATTCAAGAAGTTCATCATCACCAAGCCCTTATTATATGAAATGTTAAAGGGACTTACCTAAGAAAAAGAAGATAAAAAGATGAACAGTGAAAGGACAGCAAACTCACAGTTATTAACAACCACACCTAAAACAAAAGCAAACTAAAAGGACAGCTAGATCAGGAGTGGAAACATAGAAATGAAGATCTCAAGGAGGTTAGCAACAGGAGAGTGGGAGGAGGAGAAGGGGGGAGAAGGTACAGAAAATAAGTAGCGTAGACACTAGATAGAAAATAGATAGGAGGAGGGTAAGAATAGTAGGGGAAATATATAGTCTAAAGAACTTGAGACAAGTGTTCATGAACTAAAGGGGGGGGGAATGGTGGGGGAGGGGTATGCAGGGTGGAGGGGAATGAAGGGGGAAATAGAACAACTGTAATGGCATAATTAATAAAATATATTTAAAAATAAAAAAGGAAAGTTTAGAAAAAGATGTGGCACTGTAGGAGTTTATTTTATTGTTGATAAATTACATTTCAATAAGTTATATCTGAGTAATTAAATTTGTGGCCTCCATATTTGGAGGCTTCAAGGAAATGTGATTTCTGGCCCCAGTCTGACAAGAGTGTGAACTGTTGTTCAGAATTTTCCAGAGACACTTCCTTTTTTTTCTCCATCCAGAGCAAAGACAGAGGCCTTTTGATATTTTAGTATCTACAAAGAGAGCAGATAGCCCGTGAGCTATAGTTTGCTGTGGAACAAAAAGTTGCACTGTAATAAATTTAATAAAAAATAACCTCACAGGTAATCTGATCATGAATTCCTAACTGGCTGGGTCAAGGTAGATAGTCACACCCCATGCTATACAACTTCTTTAGTAAAAGTTTCATCTTTGCCTTAAGCCAGCCCTCTTCATTGTTTCTGTGCATCTAGGTTAATACACCTTTGAATTGCATATATTTCAGACCCCTCAAGGGAGTACTAATCTTGTCAACTATCCTGTAATCCAATCCACACTCTGTTTTCTTCCACCTTTGTGTAGTCTTCCTTATGATTTTTTCTTAATTTCAAATGCATAAAGAAACTGCAGCCCTGGTAGTGTGGCTCCATTGTTTGGAGTATGGTTTGATAAGCATTTTGGGTTCCATCCCTGGCCTGGGAGCTCAATGAAGACAACCAACTGATGTTTCTCACATTGATGTTTCCCTCTCCTTTCCTCTCTAAAAGCAATGGAAAAAAAATGCCCTCAGGTGAGTATTTAAAAAAGAAGAAAAAAACTACAAGAGGGAGCATTTGAGATCTTGCTTT